TACAAAAATATTAAGTTAAACAATGGGTAAAACCAATGAACCTGTGCTAATATCACAAGAGATAAGATTTATTTGTAAGTAGTTGTAATTAGAGGATAAACTCTGATAAAGGTGCATATTCATTTAGCAACATTGTTTATCAGCATTGTGTGATACAAAAGCGGCGCAGCTTTTGCCTCCACAGAATGGTGCTATTCATTAGAATAGATGTTCTGGTTATTTGTATTAACTTTTAAAAAATATGCTATCTATTATGTATGAATGTAGTTGTTGTAAGCTATCAATATCAAATTTTCTTTCACAGGCATATAGCCTTACGAATAACTGCTATAAGGGAGACATTTGAAGAGCTAGGCCTGCTGATTTGCAGTCGAAATCAGAAGAAAGACAGAACTGGTTTCTGGGCAAGCACTATCAAAGATTTTGATGTCAAGCATTGGCAAAGTCTGGTAAGTATTTTTATAGTCTACCAAGTGTATTTTTTATTTATTTTATTGCTTTAATAATTGAAGTAACTAAAAGAATATCAATCATTTAAATATTATTGAAGTTTGCACATGTTTCTGAGAATTGGTTTACTACTGAGAAAGTAGATGATAACAATAGTAGAAATTGATAACCATAATGACTTATAATAATTGTTTATGATAGACAGATGACACATCCATCCGTGCATTTACAGTTATCAGTTAATTCTGCATGTGCACAGCACTAATTCATATTGAAATAAAATACCATTGAAATGTTCTGCGCTCATTTAAAGAGTCCATTGTCCTATTGTGGCCCCGAAAATCTTAATCATCTTAATATGTTTTGTTTCTTTAAACAAAATGACTTATCTGCTTATCTCATTGCAAACATGGCACTACATCCATAAGATACCAGTTTCCATAAAACACTTTGTCTCAATGTTGACTGGACTATTCCTTGGCTAATTCTAAGAGCACTAGCGGTTGGAAAGCGGTAAATGCGAGTGGATGCACAGCGAATTCGTCGCAGACGTGCAGCATATACCGGCAGTATTTGTACAATGAATTCCCTGCACATCTCTGCTCCGCATCCACTCTCAAACCGCTAGTGTGTTAAGGCTCTAAACTAGTGTCATTGTCCTAAATTAGGAATAGAAATAAAACAGGAATTGCACAGTTGACTAGTAAACACTTTTCTCCCTAGATTTATTGGAAAATATCAAAATGTCTTTAAAGAAACCAATGTCAGCTATAGACCTCTGTCGCTTTTGTATTGCTTATTTTAGAAAGTGCTTGGACAGAAGAAGTCAAAAATTAATAAGAAAGTGGTCACGCAGAATCGAGACCTGCTTAGTATTTGATTTTTATTATCAGCTTTCATAGGTAGCCACTTAGTTTACTTACTCCAGTTAATATTTAATGTCTGTGGCTTAGCTTTGCTCCCATATTACTGACGAATTTCGAATATCATGTCTTTATTCTAGGTATTCTTAAAACTACAACAATTGTGTGTCGAATTTTATTGTCCTAAAAAAACTATTTGAACAGACATTCTATTTTCATGCCAATTTATTACGGCCTTTCCGCATTGAGCAACAATCAGTCAGTTATTATTTAAATACCTACCAGTCACACTGTGAAGTTGCAGAAGTATTATACTCAAAAACATGCTTATGTCGAGGCAGGCACTCACTACTACCACAATAGCCCGGAGAATAAGGGTGGTGTTATTGCTTATAGCGAAGGTCACTTGTTTGAATCCTACCTGAGGCATAATAATCTGTACGTACATCATGGTTAATGTGCATTCAAATTGGTATTCAATATAATAAAACTATTTCAGGTAAGCAAAGACCCGTCAGAGCTGTTGAACCTGTGTTCCAACTTGGGCTGCTACCCTGACATCTGGGCGCTGCACTACTGGAGCAACTGGCTGACTCCGGCTAACCTGAAAAAGAGGTTCGACACCGCCTTCTTCCTCACGGCCCTGCAGACCAGGCCCGAGGTGGAGGCTAGCAGCGAAGTTGTTAAGGCTGAGGTGAGTAAAGCCCTGTCCACAGACCAGTGACGTCTTCATGCACACGGCCCCTTGACGGACTTCTTTACTCTATGGCCCTATCAGTGGCATAGCGTGCTATGTAGAAGAGCCCTGTATAAAAGCTAGTCTTGTAGAAGGTTAAGATTTCTCACAATAAAAAATGCTTAAGTTTTGAATGTGGATTCAGGAAAAGAGATACGGTGCAAGAAACCCAAGGCCGACTACCCGGTATAATCTGTAGTTACGCCTCTGAGCCCTATTCAAACTGCAGCGGTAACTGCTAAGTGATACTCAATCGCTTACCAATGTGTACCCATACGATCCGCTACCCACGACAGTACCGGATTTACGCATACCGGTACTGCGATTTGAAGAGATTTACGCGGTAACTTTATTTTTAAATTTAATTAAGCTAAAAAATACGATGCCGAATTGAATTTATAGTTCTTTGTACCTATCTTTTTAGGGTTTCGTAGTCTACTAGAAACCCTTATAGTTTCGTCATGTCTGTCCTGCCTGTCTGCCTGTCTGCCTGTCTGCCTGTCTGCCTGTCTGCCTGTCTGCCTGTCTGCCTGTCTGCCTGTCTGCCTGTCTGCCTGTCTGCCTGTCTGCCTGTCTGCCTGTCTGCCTGTCTGCCTGTCTGCCTGTCTGCCTGTCTGCCTGTCTGCCTGTCTGCCTGTCTGCCTGTCTGCCTGTCTGCCTGTCTGCCTGTCTGCCTGTCTGCCTGTCTGCCTGTCTGCCTGTCTGTCTGTCTGTCTGTCTGTCTGTCTGTCTGTCTGTCTGTCTGTCTGTCTGTCTGTCTGTCTGTCTGTCTGTCTGTCGCGCCCTCATAACTCTGTCAGTTTTGGAGCTATCGACATCAAATTTGGTATGTAGATAGATCGTGTTAACCCAAACTTAGAAATGTTAGAGAGAAAAATATATTTTAATTGTTTTTTGGACCCCCTTCCCATACATGTGAAAGGGGAGCAAAAATTTTTTTTTCTCCTGTAATATTGAGTAGGGTATCGTTGAATAGGTCTTTAAAAACTAAGGGGAGATTTCTTTGAAACAAAGTCTCTAAAATGTTTCTATCTCGAGATATTTGCTTTTAAAAAGGGCTTTTTTGTGCCATAATTTGTTCCAGCTGTAACTTCTAAAGTACGCATGCTAAAAATTTGAAAAAAATATGGAATATAGTTCTTATTATAAAGTTACCATGAAAACTATAACGAATACTGTAACACTTAAGATTAAGAAAATATTAAAGTTTTTTAATTTGCGGTTGGTCACCATACAGCTGCAAACAAACCAGCAACAAAATTAACTTTGTAACGCCGAAAGATCTGATATTTAAACGTTGACTACGAAACCCTATTTGTGAGCGTGTCTGACACGCTCTTGGCCGCTTTTTTTTCCTTTGATATCATTGAACGAGTGCCACACTCGCAACGTAACAACACGAATAAATAAAATGATTACGTGAATGTTTTTAATATCAGGCGACTTTGTTTATTATGTTCACACCTTTTCTGGTTCAATGAACTTCACCTTCACACATTTCAACCATTGTTGTCGTCTTAAAGTTACTGGAACTACTTACAATTACAACTGTGTGATACAAATGCCAGATTACTATAGCGAGATTGTTTAAAACAAACTCATTTTTTTACTCTAGGGTTTCAAACTCTGACTTTGGAGCTAGTTTTCGGATGGTGCATAAGAATTGATCATCATCATACTACAACCAAACATTGTACATTTTAATTTAGGCACTTACAAACCGTACGACAAGTCAATTACAAAATACATTTTTAAATTCCATTAAAGAGAGTGCGTCAGACTTCCAATTAGGTTTATTGCCAGGTTTTATAACATTCGCAGATTTGCCGAAACATAAATATTAAGACGCCGTGTGGTGTGGTGCCGGCTTGGAATACCATCATCTCATATCTTTCTTGTGGGTGTCGTATGACCCCAATTCTTCCCGTGGGTGAATGGGCAGCAGTGTTACTTGTCAATGCAACATCTTGCACGGCGCTCGCCAACCCGCCTGCCAAGCGTGATGATACCCCCCAATAGAGGGAGGCCCATGTTTAGCAGTGGACTGTTGTGGCTGTTATGTATGTATGTTTATAGCGATTGCAGGTTTGCCGATACATAAACATTAAGACCCGGCGCGTGGATTCGTACCGCGTGTGTCACATCAAATCAAACAATGTTTTATTTACACGAACACGTGGATGCTAATCTGTTTTTACTAGTTTCTCAAGGTGAACGCTCTGTATTGTGTACGTAATCTAAAGCGTCTGGATTTACTTGTGCTAAGAATTTGTACTTTTAATAAAAAAACTATTATCCACTGTAGAGTATTAAAATCGAGTTATAAAACATAGAAAGATATCTCATTTCTATCAAAGCGCTTGTTGTGTCGTAGTTTTCTTTTCATACTAACTTATTTAATTTATTTCTCTTCTTTTCTTATATAACTGTATCTCTCTAATTTTTTTCGGCTTTCCCTTATTTTTATTTTTATAAGTAAGTGAAGAAATTATGAGCAATTTTCTTTATTCACAGAAAATTAAAAATGCTCTTACTCGTTTATAATATATTTTTTCGAAAAATAGCATTTGCAGTACTATTTACTTTAATAATAAAATAAAGATCTTACATGCATTATTTTATTTAACTTTATTTTTATTTATTTTATTCGGGAAAAAAACAAAGGAATACGTTTATTAAGAGAAAAGACCGAAAGTAGGCATCACTCGAGTATCCTCTTAGTAATCGAATCATCATGTCAATCGAAAATAGTACTTACACACGCGCGTCGCCGCTAGCGGTCTCTTTGCGTTTACGAATTTGGGCTTATGGTCACGGAAATTTATTATTGACCCCTATTAAGTCCATTATAACGGTACAAGCGAAGACGTTGTAAAACAATTAGTTACCGTTTCGTGTACATACTACTAGGTACTACTAAGTGAATGAAAGTAAGAAATTGAATAAATGTTAGTACTGGCCGGGGCTTGAGCCCAGGACCGTGGCGTACCGTCCCACTGCTCTTCCAACTGAGCTGCCGGCGCCTAGCTGACCCTCACGAAATTTTCAACCTCTTGACGTTGTCGTTTTAGCGAAATCTAGTTATAGTTGTTTTACAACTTAATACTTAGTTAGTCATTACATTACAGTTGGAATTGATGAAGCTACAAACCATATGACAAAGCTATAGAGCAGTGGGACCCCACGGTCCCGGGCTCAAGCTCCGGTCGACACATTTTTTTTTCAATTTCTTGTTTTTATTTATGAGAATAATATACCTACCTAGCACTGTGAGTGCATTAAAATCCTAATTCTACTACGTACTTTGATTTATACCTACTGTGATATTCAACTGAAGTCTAGATACCTACTAAATTGCACTTTGCGCATTGAAAATGTGCGCGACCTTCGTTCGATAAATTAGAATATTTTATTTGCACACTGAACCTTCTCAATGATCTATTTTTTATTTGTTAACTGAAATAAAAAAAACAGTTTCCTTCTATTGAATCTAGTTTTGCGTGTAGCAGTACTATTCTGTAGAAGGTAAATTTTTGTCGATGTTCATAAAATAAGGACAATATGCTGTCTGACGGAGTAAACCAGGATTACCCAAAAATACCATGCCTAGTGAGTCCTTTTATTAAATACGCGGCACGTTAGCGGCTTCGCCCGTAGCAACTTATTTTCTCACGGTAAAAAAAGGCATTTTTCCTGCATGCGTTATATATGATATGATTTAGATGTTGGCAGATGGCAGTATGATGGCAGAATTAGGTTTTTGGCCAAAAGCCGACATATGGCAAAATCGTAGACTTCCTTCGGCCATCGTCCTAAGTTGATCCAGGTTTTTGGCCTAAATCCTAGGTTTTTGGCCGAAATCCTAGATTTGTTTAGTATTTTGGCTTTTTGCATTTCGGGGGAACTAGGAGTGAAGAGGAACGTTATGCACCTCCCTCTGATCTGATTAGGGTAGCATCAGACAGCCTGAACAGCAGGATTGCCTCTATTGCCCTGGAGGGTAGGGAGGAACGTCAGACACTAAAAGGCAGGATGAACCACTGGACGCTCTACAGGATCGAAGGTAGCGCCGGACACCCTGGAGGACAGGGGGTAACCGAACTACACGGGCACGTTAAGCCATCGGTCCTGATTGCTCTCTATGATCACTTAGATGGCAGTCGTTACACAACCATTTCAGAGGCATGCTACTTACAGTAGGCGGTTCAAAAACTTCGACACCAGGGTTCATCGGGTAGTTAGGCGACTTGGTGTACCACTTAAAGAAGAAGAAGTTCCCCCAAAATGCAAAAAAAGCCATAATACTAAACAAATCTAGGTTTTCTGCCAAAAAACTAGGTTTTTGGCCAAAAACCTGATTCTGCCATCGTACTGCGACATATATACATTTAGTTTCGGTTTCGCAGGAGCTAGTAAATTCTACCACAGACAGACAGAGAAACACAAAAGCAGCTTCATTTTATATTTTTGTATTATTGATATTGAAATGGCATGTTCAAAGTGACGATGCCGGCTATGAATAGCATCACCCCATTTCTTTCCCGCTGTAGTCGTAAAAGGGAACTAAGAGTTTTATGTGTTACAATTTTAAACGACTACTAACAACCTTTCACTATAGTGATTCAATATTTATGAAACGTCCCTTAAGTATTTTTCAGACATGGCGACAACGACCTTATTTTTACGACCGTTCACGCTCTGACTACCCCGTAAGGTATAAGGCGTGATTTATGTTATGTTTAAAGTGTTGCGTTCTCTCACTTCCAGTGGGCATCGCCGTCAGAAGTCATCGCTCGCAGTAAAGAGCTGGTGATCTACCCGCCACAAATATACGAGCTAGAGCGCTTCTCCCACTGGACGGATCTTGAGGAGCTGGTAGCAGTAGCCCAGGATACCAGCGACCTTGCAGACGAAATTTTCTACCATGCCACTGTCATCGCCGCTGACGGGAAAGTTTTTGTTTTTTATGGTAAGTGTCAGTTGCAAAATATTTGTCATCGCTCGCAGTAGAGTTGTGACCGTTTTGTTAAACTACAGGCTACAAATTGTGCAGGCGAAATTCGATGTAAAATTGCGTTGCCGGTTAGCCCTTATGATCCCATTATTACTCGTAAACTGGTTACCCAATTTACATAGTTTTTGCTTGTACAATTGTAGTCTATAGTTTGATAAAATCTGGTATTGGTATACGAGCTAGACCGGTTCTCCCACTGGAGGAATCTTAGGAGGTGCTGACGGTAGCCCAGGAGACCAGCGACCTTGCTGATGAACTGTTTTACCATGCCACTGTCATAGCCGCTGACGGAAAAGTTTTTGTTTTGTATGGTGTTGTTGTTCCATGTTTCATGGGAAAAGTTGTTCAGTTTCATGAGTACCTTGACTTCCTTTCGGCTTGTTATACCCTTTCCGTTACTCCCTGTATATAAAAAATCCTTTTTAGCTTTATTAAACGCAAGACTAGTCGTGACTGTAACGTTTACTGTATTACTTAGCGCTTTATCAAGCCGTTCAGTAGATACAACACTTAAAGTTATAAATGTCACCTTTTCGCCGGAGGTCTGAAAAAAAACCTTGACAAGTTATCATTTTAGAGGATTTCTGATTGAAGCCTGGTTTCGGCATTTCTTTCATAAGTACAAACGTATTCCCCTGTTTTCTTCCCGAGTACCTCTAGAGGTATAATCCTGTTTTATTTTTTATTTTTATTAAATTAAGTGAAAACAGGGGAATACGTTTGTATGAAATCGCTGAGACCAGGAGGGCTCTTAAATTCTTTAACTTTCATTTAGATGGTTCAAGACTGATGGAAATTTTTCGATATCAATAGGTTGATTTGCAAAATATTGGAAAACTATTGACAACGCGAAAGTCATAATTAAATTAGCCTATATCGCTCGTCACGCGAGATATCGTTCAAGTTGAATAAACTCAATTAGTTAATGAATTTACTTCATCAATTCTTGTCGTCTCCTCCACGGTGACTTTTAGCTTGATTACGAAAGCATCGGTGCAGAACATGAATGGATATAAGTAGGTATTTTCCAAGTTACTCAGTAACAAACATGACCTTGCTTTCTGTTGGAGACTAAAATAAAACATTTAGGTTTTGGATCTTTTTTGTCTAAGTTTCATGTTGTCGCCATTGTTCACTTCTATTCAGTACTGTTTGTACCTAAGATGCAAATATATCCAGTTTATTCTCATAGTTAATATAGTTTCATTTAGTTAGGGAACGAACTAGCCCGTACTATTTATTTATATTTAGCTGCAGAGTTTCGGAGTTAGGTACACTTTCAGGTTTCTTAGAATAATACAAAACATGATTACGAACTGACGCAAAATGCTTATTCTGTTTTAAGACTAAATAATTTATAGAAACTTTTCTTTTTCTTTCTAGGCGACGACCTCTACCCATCTACTGTAGACTACAACACCAACACGACAATAAAAACTAATAAATCCATATCAGAACTGAGAGAGAGCCGTAGCTCGATCCACTGCATCGAAAGTACAAACTCGGAGTATCGCATCGTCCTAAAAAACTTTAAACCTAAGAACATAGACATGGGAGACAAAGTCGTCCCGCTACACGTAACTTTTAGCAGCTTACATTAGCTTCGGCCTTATTAGATATCAATCAAAAAGTTGTAGAAAAATAATAATTAATAATGGCGAGTGGAGGTCACACTTGGCCGAACGGTCAAGACGATTACGAACTGTTAGAGGTGATAGGAGTGGGCGCCACGGCCGTCGTGCACGCCGCCTACTGCCGCCCGCGCGGGGAGAAGTGCGCCATCAAGCGCATCAACCTCGAGAAGTGGAACACCTCCATGGACGAACTCCTCAAGGAGATCCAGGCCATGTCCAGCTGCAACCACGAGAACGTCGTCACCTACTACACCAGCTTCGTCGTCAAGGAGGAACTGTGGCTCGTGCTGAGGCTCCTAGAAGGAGGCAGTCTACTCGATATCATCAAGCACAAGATGAGGATATCGAACTGCAAGCACGGAGTGTTCGACGAGGCGACTATCGCCACGGTACTAAAAGAGGTGCTGAAAGGTCTGGAGTATTTCCACCAGAACGGCCAGATCCATAGAGATATTAAGGCCGGTAATATTCTTCTCGGGGACGATGGAACCGTACAGATCGCTGACTTCGGAGTGTCGGCGTGGCTGGCGACCGGTAGGGACATATCCCGTCAAAAAGTTCGTCATACTTTCGTCGGAACTCCTTGCTGGATGGCTCCGGAAGTAATGGAGCAAAACCACGGCTACGACTTCAAAGCCGATATTTGGTCTTTCGGGATCACAGCCATAGAGATGGCGACCGGCACCGCCCCCTATCACAAGTATCCTCCGATGAAGGTCCTCATGCTGACTCTTCAAAACGATCCGCCGACTCTCGATACCGGCGCCGAAGAAAAAGACCAATACAAGGCGTACGGAAAGACCTTCCGGAAAATGATCTCGGAATGCCTTCAGAAAGACCCGACGAAAAGACCATCCGCCCCAGAGTTACTAAAGCATTCCTTTTTCAAGAAAGCAAAGGACAAGAAATACCTGATGTCGACTTTAGTCGCGATCGGGCCGAGTATGGAGACTCGGGTTCACAAAGCTAGCAAACGGCAGCCGGGGACCTCCGGCCGGTTACACCGCATGGAGACCGGAGAGTGGGTGTGGGAGAGCGAGGACGAAGACGCCGACGATGATGAAGGGGAATGCAACGAGCGACCTATGAACCAGCTCGCCAGAGCCGACTCCTCCGACAGCGAAAGCGACACCGAAGGCGGCCGCGCTGGCGGTTTCACCATCGGTTCCCTCGGCGGCGGGGAAGACACCCCGCAGATAAACTTGGTGCTCCGCATGAGGAACTCTAAGAAGGAACTCAACGACATCCGTTTCGAGTTTGCTGCCGGCAAGGACTCCGCCGACGGCATCGCTACGGAACTAGTCGGCGCTGGATTGGTGGACGCGCGAGACTCGCAAGTGATCGCCAGCCAGCTGCAGAGACTGGTTGACGCTCA